GAGGACTTTGCGTGGTGGACCGCTCTTTTACATACTGCCTCAAGTAACCAGAGTAGAGCTGGATTAACCTTGACAACCCTGTTCTGTAAGACAAGCGCAGTGATTCAGCTGTGCCTTTAGGAACAGATGCTAAACGAATCCCATGAATCCTCATGTGCAGGTGAATCGCTGCTCCATTGACCCACTGCTTAATATTGTAAGTGTTCAACTGGTGATCCACAGTCATGGTTTCATAAAGTTCGATCACAGCATATTTCAACTTCTGGTCATAGAGTTCAGTTATTTCTCCCATGTCCTCAATGTCATTGGCCCTCCTAGAAACCAGCTTGAGATATTCGCTCACAATGCTAGCAATTTCTGAAGAGTTATCTGATCCAAAAGCCTTCTTAAATGGGTCTGGAGTCACGCCATCTGTTTGACCGACAATACTGGATGCTAGAGTTTCAAGCAGGAAAGACAAAGCTAGTGCCACAACGCCGACACCTCCGTAAGATACGTTTGCATTCTGTCCAAAAATAGAGGTCAGGTTGGTATCTAAAGTGACTAGTTGGTCTGCGGTCAGGCTCTGCTGGATGGCAGTATACTGCAGGTTGAGTGCAGTGCTGGAATTGAGGGACAGTAGATTTGCCACAGTCCCATCAAGTGTGATGTCCGGGAGTATCCCATTGTCCTGGGCAACTCTGTAGATGCTGTCAATAGTTGCTGGAGATGGGGTGCAGGGATGATTTCCCATGCTTAAAAGGATTATTCTTGTCTTGCTAGTAGGTCAAACATCCAGAGATATGTGTGCAGAGGAACTGAGACCAGTTTATTTTGAAATGGAATGAAAGGTCAGTGCCAAAGTACATGGTTTAATCTGTGCAAAAGCAAACAATGTGACAAATCAGGTTAAACATTTACATGGAAATGTGAATCTGGTAACTCTGGTACCAAATTATCTAATATTAAGAAATAACAGATGTAACAAATATGTGAACGGAAATTGCTATAAGCAAAATGTTTTATGAGAATTCTTTCACACAGTTGATTAATTTGTTACCTTGTTTTAGGAGGATTGTGGACAAGTAGTACTATGCTATTTCCTTGTTAGTTAAAAAGACATGAGTACATACGGCAAAAAATAAGGGAAATGGTGTAATTCGGTTGTTTCCATTTTTTAATTGATTCGATGATGTGCTTTATGTGCCTGATTCCCGCTGAACTGGGCGGGGTGTGTGATGTTTGATTTGAGGGGCATTCAGTGGGTGGGGTTTGCGTGCCACGTTGGGACAGTGGAAAACATGACATGATTTCGGCCTCACTGCCCTCGGGGCTATTGGCATGGTCCAGCCCGAAAAAAGCCCTAGCTCGCACTGGCCCAATAGTGGAAATACAGCTATTTATGGCACATTTCCACTTCATGGTAGAGCTTGATAGTTTTTTTGTGGCGTATAGTTCATAGTACCTGGTAATCTTTTAGCCCAACCTTGGATGAGGTTTCAAGTGACCTGTGCTGATTTGAAAATGTGATGTAAAAAAGATGACTGGCCAATTTCAGCAAAAGGCACTGATGGGTCATTTTAAATGACTGTCTTGCACAACTTATTGTGATAAAGTGACCAGGAATAATAAGTCATGTTAGTAGTTAGGGGTGTCACAATTTCGATTTTGAATCGAAATCGATCGAAATTTATGCTGAGTGATTCAGATCATCAGCTCAGTAGCAGAGACTGAAAGACCAGTAATAGGTGTGAAAGACAAAGGAAACATCCAAAACATACAGGGTTGGTGGTCGTTCAGGAACGTGGCCACTCTGAAGGTTAAAAAAGGGTTCATAGCAAATGGATGAGCTATTAATACTGATATTGAATCAGTAATAAACTTTAGAAGCAAATCAAGCCAAATAAACCAAGTAAAGTGACCCGATTAGTAGGCCACAGTGTAAAAATGGTAAAAGAGAGCAGCACCTAGTGGCACAAAATCACTTTTCACAATGTTTTTACTGTGCATTGCTGGTGTAATGATCTGGAACTCAGAATCACTAACATTCAAACCAGAAGTTGCTACTCACTTTACAAGTGTTGTGTCAATGCAACATCACTATGCAGGCCAAATCTTTTTGACCACTGAAGCGAAGGAGGATTGAGACTTGTGAAAGTTAGATAGCTAGTGGGATGTTGTGATGGTGAAACCAGCAGAGGGATTTTTTACTGTAATGCCTCATTTCCACTAAGTGGCATAGTACAGCTTAGTACAATACAGTGAGATTTGGTTTTTCAACCACCAACAGTCCCCTTTCTTTGTACAGTAAGAGTGGTGTAAACAAGAAAGTCGCTATTGACATCATTCTAACTCATAGAAGAAAACTATGCGCCATTGTGCCTTTTGTGCAGTTAAATTCATCATTTCAAATGTAGATGTTGCAAAATAAAAAAAGAGGAACTGGCACCGCTTGTGTTTTGATTGGATGTCATGCATTTAAGTCCCATAAACAACAATGGAAGACATAAAGCAGAAACATTTTTTTTGCTTCTTGCCATATGGCTGTCACAAGATAGGATGAGCTTTATTTTAGCATGATTTATTGCTGGGTACACACCATCATTATACTTTTGTGGCACTGTTTCATCTGTGTTTTACAATTGTGCTTTCCTGTGCCGTTGTTTCAATGTTGTTTCTGTTTCTTGATGCAGATGCAAGTGACAATTCCTAGTAAACCAATAGTGTTCAACAGCAAGTCTAGCTCCACCCTTTTAAACAACACTGTTGTATAGGTACCCTAAGAAAAGGGTCCCAAAAAAGTGGTACAGTTCACTATTTTGGTAATTTCCACAATGGAAATAAATACACACTGTATTGTTAAAACCGTATGTCTACGTGGAAATGAACCATAAGAGGCACTGCCCTTCAGATTTTGATAGAGTATTAAGGCAAACCACTTTTTCTGTAAAAGAACTTTATATATAATAAATGTTTTATGCAAAGTTGCATTTTATTTGGATTTTAAGAGATCATCAATATTTTATTTTTTTTATTTATTTTGTTTAATATTCAGTTTCACAAATTTCCGCATTACTCCTGACTGGTGCGTTTCTCATATCATGGCATCAAATTGTTCGATTTATCCATTTACTGGTTCTCATTATTAAAATGTTCAGTTAAACCTTTGATTTAAATGATTTCAGTTTAATTTTTAAATGTCCTCCATTTAAACCTTTCTTCTTGTCCTGGTTTCAGATATAGCTTTGTCATTAAAATTTTACCTGAAGGTCCAGCAGAATCTTTAATCTTTATTGAATTGAATTCTTTATTGTTGCAACTTGACAATGAAGTGCTTAGTGTTTGCTGCCTGCTAAGATCCACACTTTCTGTAACGAGACTTCATTTCAGTCCCCCCCCAGGACATTAGCGCACAATCATACTGGATTAGCTTTGCTTAGTCAGAACTTCAGACTGATGGCAAAAAGTCTGGACTCCTTTACTGTTTTTATGAGTCAAGGACAACCCGTAAAACCACTATACTGACATGTGAAGTTTTAAGCTATAGTTCTTTTTGTTCAGCATGTGATTGTAAAATCAACATTTGCACTAAATAGAATGGTGTTCAATTAAATTATTCAAGAATGTCAGCACCAATAGCCTAGTATTTGGAGCAGAGAAGCACAAACTAGACCCTGGGCGCCAAAGCTGGCCTATGCTAATCTTTGATTTGGCCCACCATCCCATTTGAGAAGAGGAGAATGATGGGTAGGTGGTTGGGATGAATATCTTTGACAGAGATCGTCATTTCCAATTTATGTAACCTTTTGTTTGTTATGTCATTTCTTTGGTTTTGTAAAGGAATCTGATTTTTAAAAACGTAAATACTGTCACTCGACAGACAGAGGACAATGCACAAAACATCAGCTAGCAAATCAAGGCAAGTGCAGCTTAGTATTCAGCTTTGAATTAAATTTAGTTATTAATAGGATAGTTTATGTTTTTATTGCAATACATTTATTTTAAAAGTTAAAAAATTACTGCATTAGTTAATATAATTCAAAGCAATATTTTGTAGTTATTTTTAAATAATAGGAAATTACTCATAAATACTTAAAAGTAATACAGTTTGGTATTTACTCTTGACTAACAGTCCTCAAACAAGTTTGGTTTCTGGCCCTTCATAAGAAACACACAGCACAGAGGTGCTCACGGAGACCCGAGTTCGATTCCCGGCTCAAGCTTCTTTCTGATCTCTTGCACCCCACACTTTCCTGTCTTTAAAATCTCCACTGTCCTATCACAATAAAGGTGAACCCCTAAAAAATAATATCAAAAATTCAAGAATATCATTTTTAGTCATCAAGACATCAAGATGTTATTCTTTGTATTGTGTAACCTCAACAAAAATAAAAAAATCTACAGTTGTTGATGCATCAAATGACGTTTTTAATTTTCATAGATCAGGATTCAGGGCTGCCATTTCATTATTTCAGTGTTTTCAGCTTTAAGAAAGCTTATACATATATATTACATTGAATCAACCAAAAAAATAAATAAATAAAAAGGCAGTGGTATTCCCTCTTAACCAGTCAATGATTTATTACAAAACATCATCTGACAAACAGTTAAAACATTAAAAAATATTTATAAAAGTATTTTTTTTACAAACACATACCAATAATTTGTAGTTCTTGACAATTAGGGAAAAAAATGGAAGAAACCATCAGCAGAGCAGTGTGTGTGTGCGCGTGGATGTATGCATCTATGTATGTATGTATGTATATATCCATATAAACACAAGTCTTTATCAGGGGTGTCCAAACTCGGCCCTGGACAGCCAGTGTCCTACATATTTTAGTTCGGTCACTAATTAAACGCATGCACGCACGCATGCACGCACACACAAACACACACACACAATTAAACTAGTTTGGAGTTCAACTCTGCAGGACACTGTTTTCGGACACAGGGCCATTTTTGGACATTATATATATATATATATATATATATATATATATATATATATATATATATGATATGATATGATGGTTTTGAGTGCTGTGAAGCTTTAGTGTGAATGTAACAGTAGTGACCCTGTTCATCTGAACATGCTCCAGATCCACATGACAAACAATCCATCCACTAAAGTCTGTGATTACAGATTGGATAAAATGTCACAACAGGGTCTGCATAACATTAGGCTTTTAGTAACATTACTGTAATTCAAATGCTTGATTATACTTGACCATTAAACACATATTGCACTCAGGTCGCCATGTCAACGTGCACTGTATATTCACTTAACATGCAGCATGCAATCGGCTGTCTGACAGGCGGGAAAAATACGGCCTACTAAAAAATTACACCAGTTTGTGTCACAAAAAGTGCTTACGACTACAGTAGCCTGATGCATAAAGTAACACAAAAGTCGCAATTAACAATAAACCTTAAAAATTCCATACAGAAATGTGCTGTTCTTCTGAAAGTCCAATATTAACAAAGTTCTGACATCATTCATGCACTTTAAATGCAATAAAAATACTGTCCTATTAAATACAAATAACAACGTCTTTTGAAAAAACGTTTTGGAAGATACTCATGCATTTAAACACAAACATCCAGTCCGATGTGTGCAGTGTTGGTGAGATTTGCCTATTAAACAAAGACATCACGTTCAACTTTAAAACAATGATCAAGCTGAAACCTCAACCCACTGACTCATTTGTAATCAAGTTAAAACAGGCCATACAGATTCCTTTACACCGTCCAAATATATAAAATATAATCCAAATATATAAAAAATGTAAACATTATCCCAAGTACAAAAGCTTGTGAGAACTCCTGACAGGCCAACGGTCCGCGGAAAGCTCGTGATGATGTGGTTTGTTTTTTGTGCGGTTATTCAGTGTAAGTTTTTAGATAGCATGAAGCATGAGGCTGCATGCTTAACTATCTCTTAGAAAAGTCATAGGTTCCATTCACCTTAAACCCTGTGATGGGAACATTTTTAGGTTGCAAGTAAACTGAACATGCAAAGCTGGGTGAAAAAAACATACAGGAGGAACAATTTGAGAAACTATCAATTAATTGTGCGTTAAAAGTTTTACCTTAAAAAAAATTGAACGTTTTTGTTTGGATTTAAGAAGATCTTCACATCTTTAAGTTGTCTTCTCATGATCGGAATTTACTGCATTTTAAATATAAATTAAAATAATTATTTAAAATTAGGGTTGTCATGATACTGGAATTTTATACCAATCAGTACTGGAATTTTAAATACTTCCATTACCTGCTAACATTTAAGCACTGTGGAATGCATTCTTCAACAGTGCTGGATTGCCATTGTGTTCACGTGCTCAACAGAAATGACTGTGGTTGGCCGTGAAGTTTATCAGTTAACCGAACTCACTGCTGTTTATTGTGTGTAACCACAGATACAGAGACACTGGAGAGTTTTAAAGCCGTGATTTATCAGCAGATCTCTAGTATGTCAACTTATAGTCAATACAGCTGATCGACGTGTCTTTGAAATGCTCTAGTGTCCCTGTACCTGTGATTACACTCACTAAGCAGCAGTGAGTTCGGTGAACCGATGACCTTCACGACCAATCACAGTCATTTCTGTTAGGCATGTGAACACAATGGCAAATCAGTGATGTTTAAAGAACAGGCTTCACAGCGCTCAAATATTCACAGGAAATGGACGTTTTTAAAATTTTAGTACCGATTGGTATCAAATTCCAGTATTGTTACCCTATTTATAATCATAGAATTTGTTCTTAAACTTCATTAATTCATTTTAATAAAAAACAGGTAACAAAAAATATCTAAAACATCTATTTGGTTTGATATAAGATAGTCATTTAGACAATAAATTCTCCTGTTTTTTTAAACACCTTGACCAACATTTACCAGATTTCAAGTACCTTTTTGGCTTTCCACAGTATTTTTGTTATCGTCTTTACGCATGGATGATTGCAAATGCTCTGGAACCACTTTGAGAATGTGGAATAATGCATGAAAAGAACCACTTAACTATTCCATTGAAATAGCATTTGAACTCGCAGCTTTATAAACCGTACACAAAGTCTGTGCAAAAATGAAAAGCTCTTGGAAAATGAAATGAATTCAATGCTTTTGCACATTTTCATAGAAAATCATTCAGTTTCCCTTCTCGACAGGTTCACAGAAAGTGAGAAAACCAGACTAACAACCGTACTTTAGTTTTCTTTTTGGCCAACAGTACTCTAATAAATATTAATAAATAAAAAAAAGCTTAATTATTCCCTGCGTAAGACTAGCTTACTTCCATTTACATGCTAATAAAATACTTCACTCTGTAATCGTTGGAATTCTGTGCTGCTCAAATGTGCAAGCAGGTGCGTCGGGGAGTCCAAATGGAGAACCACGTACTGTAACAGTCCTTGACTCATTTATCTGTTTATCAGTTTGCTTTTTTCAGGATTCGGATGATTTTCTGGCTTTGCTGTAACTGTAATCACTCCAGCAGCTTCACATGTAGCAACCGAGGAAATGTTAGCGGTGTCGATCCGAGGCTCACCCTGATTCTGAGTAAGCAACACGTTTTCCTCAGCCTCGTCTTCATCTTCATCTGAGCAAAGCCTCCAATCATCCGCTTCCTCGCTCTCAGATCCCTGCACAGCAATCTGAGGAACCAACGGATTTCTTCTTGCCACACATTCCTCCTCCGACTGCGATTCGCCGATTATATGCTTGGGCCGCGTGCCAGTAGATGTGCCTGTCTGAGCGGAAGTCTGTGGAGCATCCGGCTCATCAAAGCTCACTTCCTGCACAGCTTCCTGCTTCTTGAAGGAATCTCTGCGTTCAGACAGATTGAGTTTACGCATGACCACAATCTGCTCCATGCGTTCGCTGGGCCAGTCCCTTAATCTTTGGGCACACAAGTATCCACCAAGCCTGCCGTGATCTGTTGTATATACCGAACCGCAGGCCACCTCTCCCTCAGCGTCTCCAGAGACGTCCAGCTCACAATGAGGGACCTCAAGGGTGTGTCTACGGGCCGCATGTGGCTTTTTGTCAGCGAATAACGCCCCTGAAAGTTTCTCTGCAGACTGGACTCTCTTTAGCAAAGGAGAACGTGGAGGTTCTGCACTTCGGGGTCTGACCACATGCCGAATGATGGTGGGGGGTGAGAGGGTTTTGCCGTGGAAGGAGTGGAGGGTTTTGGAAATGCTGGGTAATGGTGAAGGGGAGCGCTGAGGTGACAGAGCCTGTGGAGAGGAGGTGCAGGCCAGAGGAGAGGGAGGGATGCTGCTGGTGGACTTCCGTCTGCCCACTTTAGTGTACCGCTGGTTGCCAAGTTTAGACCCGAGTCCGTGCAGTGAACTGGGACGCATCTGAACTGCCGGTGAACTCGGAGAGCTGGAGCATGGAGAGGCGTTCTGGGGCAGGCCGGTATCTGAACAGATGTTTGAAAAAAAAATAAATAACACATTATAAATTATAAAGGGCTTTGCAAATTGAAGTCTAAAATTTTATAAGTCTTCCTTATGTAAAAAAATTGTCATGCACAGACAAACAAACATCGCAAAACAACACATATAGCGCATTTATCGTGTATGGCCATGCACTCACAGCGCTTCACATTCATGAGGGGGGTCTCTCCAAACTACCACCAGTGTGCAGCATCCACATGATGTGTTGGTAGCAAAAGGAAAACAATGCCAGTCTGCTCACCACACACCAGCAACAGGTGGAGTGAAGAGACGGTGATACAGCCAATTTGGTGGATGAGGATGATTGTTAGGTCCTGATGATTAAGGGCTGATGAAGGGAATTTGGCCAGGACACCAGGGTTACACCCCTTCTCTTTAAGAAAAGTGGGACTTTTTAATGACCAGAGAGAGTAAGGACCTCGGTTTAACGTCTTTTCAGAAAGACGGCACTCAGTGAAAGTATGGTTCACTTTTACTAGGGCACAAGAACTCACACAGACAGCAAGTTAAGCGCCCCCCCCCCCCCCTGCTGACTTCACTAATACCACTTCCAACCACCCTAGTTTTCCCATGTTTTGCCTTGCTTAGCTTTAGGGAGTAACTGGTCTATGGCTACAGGGTGATATGGCTGTGGCAATTAAAGCAGTCATGCTTTAAGTTCTTCTCTCTCTTATTCAAAATAAAGTTCAGAAAAAATTATGTCCATCCAATCCATTGCATAAAGAGGATGAGCTATGGGATTATCGGTTTATTTAAAAAAATCTGAGGCATTTAGATACTTTGCTTTCAATGGTGCAGCCGTGTTAAAACACAAATTTCTGTGAACTAATTAATTTTGAATAGAGACGAGCATACAATAAGCTTTAATTAATGATTCTCAAGCATCCTTCACATTCAGTCTTTATTTTACACACTTTGTTTTGTTAAAAAGTGCTCTATATGCTGTGAAGTCAAAGTCTTTTGATTGTCAAAACACCTCTCAAAAATTTTTCTATGGATGCAGCCTTTTTTTTTTTTTTTTTTTTTTTTTTTTTTTTTACATTTTATGCTGTACATACGTTTTAGTGGTTGTGGGTAAATGTGAGGTTGCATATTTTTTTACATGCAAAAAGTTTATACAAATTTTAGACTGCGTGCAACAAACTTAACTCAGGGCTATAAAATCTATGAAATCCCCCACAACCCCTAAAATCATTTTCAATTTAGGTCAATTCACCCCAAAATTAATCATCTGTGAGCCACCTGGGGTCCGTTCTTCACACCTCCCTTAAATGATCTAAGATGATTTGACAGATCCTGGATATATTTATCTTGATAATTGATCTCTGACTAATTTGGTTCTTTATACAAGTTTGCGAATCAGATTGAAATATTTGGATGAACTAATCTGAGATCGCTGCATGTGTAGTGAAGAACAGATCTATCGATCCTCGAAGTCATGATGAGCAATGCAATGATTGGCTGATGGCACAGTAGCGTAATGACATAATCTGATTAAAGGGCCATGAAACCCCCGTTTCAGCAGGGTGTTTTCACACCTCTAGTTTGAAAAAAATCAGGAAAGTTGATTTGTCCAGCTCTGTTTAGGGAGGAGTGTCGAAGGACAGAAAAAGTGAAGGTGCATAAAAATTTGCATAAAAATGGGAGTTTCGATTTGGGCACACGCACAAACACACAGACGCGGGCAGAAAGACAGTGACTGTGTTTCATGGACATCAGTAATCAAATTATTTGACAAATTAATAAATGGTGGACTTTATCTGCAGTTTGGCACTTTCATTTAAGAATTTCATCCATGCCCCTCGTGACAAATGAGATATTTGATCAGAGGAATTGCTGGAAGCATGTATTTTTAGTGCAATGTTTGATACCGCACAGCAAATGAGATAAAAAAAAATAACTCAGCATTAATCAGAAACTTAGATGCACTCGGTAGGTAGCATGAGAAAGCCGTGTTATTTCCATCACAAAATGCGGCGAAAATCCTCCACGACGGTAATAGCTTGATTGCGGTGTTTACATGTTTACACTCGGAGAGCAGAATTTATAACGGATCTTTCAGTCTATAATATTGTAGTGATATTAATGTACTTAAGTAACTTAGAAATCATTTGACTAAGGTCCGTTTTTAAACACTGAAAGAGTACTGCTGACGAACTAACTTTGCAATCTGAATAAACAAAGACCACTGATCGCTTTCCAAATCTATAGAGACAGGACAATCAACACCAACTGGAGCCACGTTTTTATTAAAAGGAGACTAGCAGCAATTCCGGAATTCAACATTTCCATGAGAAAAGCTATCGGGTAAAAATTTTTTTCCTTAGACACGTATTTTTGTCGAGCGTTGTGTGCACTGTAATCCACACGTGAGTTCTGTTGCGCTCATATAGCAGGAAATGAAAACAAAGCCTTCCTGGCAGCAAATTACAAAAGCAAAACTGACGACTCATATCTCCAAACAATTCTTCTTCTCCCATTGTTTTGGCAACACAACATGGTGTCTCTCTGCCGCCTGAACACTGTACAGGTACAAATGGTTTAAGCTATCATGCATATTAATAAAGTTGCACCACATACACAATAGAACGAGCTGATTGGTAAGTACCAAGTCTTTCTCATGAATGAATGCAGCACACTCAGAGACGTCACGAAGTACTCCCAAGTACGGACAGCCAGTCTACATGCTGGAATACACACAAGGATCTAATCGCCGTGATGCAGCTTCAATAATTTTCAAACCGGAAAAACGAATTTGCTCGAAATTACACAAAAACAACAAATTTTCACTTTTATTGTGAAATATATGTGTCCTGATAGTGTTTTTAGCAGCGTGGGACACATATATGACTGTCAACCGCTCAAAATATGTGTTTTGGTGTTTCGTTACAAGTTATGTTCATTAGTCCATGTGAGCATAAAATTCCCAGCAATTGTTAAATATGAAACGCAATACCTTTACACGTATACTGTGGGCTGCAGCCTTTACACTTTCATGTGTCGAGAGTATTTAGCAACTGATTTAGTTTTTCTTTTAGAGTGGATTTTCTTTATTATAGTAGCCTAGGTCTATTCAAGTTTCTTAATCGGCATAAGGAATAACTGGCAGTTTAAATTAATTTTGCAAAAAAGCATTTGGATATTGGTAAATGCATCTGCAATTTTTACAAAGCATCAAATCACTGTCATAATTAACTGTCAAAACATGCATGACTGCATAAATTATATAAAGGAGAATATTGTGCATGTCTATTATCATAGATAAATTGTACTAATGCTGGTACCTTAAAATAGTATGCGTTTGTCTCTAAAAGTCCATATTAATAAATGTTCTTTTTGAAACTCTTGGGGACAACCACCCCATGACAGTCTTTGCACTTTTATTTCGGAGTGCAGATTGCATAAGTTTAATTAGAAAATATCAGCATTTGGTACATACTTTCAGTATTACCTTTGCTTTAAATGACCTAATCTAATCCTGTTTATATGAAATAGGCTTGCTCCCGAGCAGGTTTGAGCTAACAGAGCTGTTGCTCTGAAAATCAACTCACGGATAAGTTTTACTTAATTGACAATTAAATGTAAGCTTGATTACAACAATAACATCACAAATAATTTAGTTTTGAATATTTTTTTGTAATTTTCCCAAAGTTGAACTGATCAATTAAGGTATGACGACTTTGCTGAAATTGTTTCTCCTTTCTCAAAGCAGTCAGGTCATACCAGTGGTGTGGTCAGGAACGGGGCTCCGGCAGGGTGTTGTGGGTCCTGAAGAAAGGCTGTGTGTAGGAGAGCCTGGCAGACTCTCGCTGGAGGACACAGAGTGATGCAGGCCAGAGGAGAAGCTGCGGCTGCTGTGCATAACTGTGCTCTGTTTGGACAGCTTCTTTAGCATGTTGCGCCTCCTGTGTACACAACAGATTATTTGGGTTAACAGCAAACCTCGATGAATGATTAACTCTTGCAAGTGCATCAAACAGAACGTCATTAACATCAGAAAAAGACAACATATTAGCCTGTATATACTATGGGTGACTCTAGAAATGCATCTAGATAAACATGCATCTACAAATGCATGTAGATAAAACCTTAACCTTCTATTATTTAACTGTTTTGAATATTACACAAGTTATTTCTAAAAAAATAATGTGCATTTAGGGACATTTTATCTTGAAAATATTAACTTAACTTCTGGTTGACCTATTTTTGACTGAAACATGCATTCAAGACTAATATTCATATTTGCATCCATTTACCAAGTTAAACACTTGCATGCAACATATATTTTCTGTATTATTTGTCATTCCAATAGTAAAATAATAAATGGTGTATGTCCCTACATTGTAGTCAACTCTGCTACAGGGTAATAAAAAAGTATAACAACCTTTAAAGCACTGAGAGAATAAAAGCATGTGACTTGCTCCAAGTGATGTCAATTCCTATGTTGGGAAAGTCTAGAAGGATTTTGAGGTGTGCCATTATTCTTTTCTCATCATTTGTAAAAAACGTTAAGCATACACCAATAGTAGATTATGTAAACTCTGTTATTGTGATATTTTAATGAGTTTCTCATTTGCAATTTAAAAACATTGATGAAAATACACAAAGTTTGTTTTAGACATGCCATGTTTCTTTATGAGTTACCATCTGAGATAAATATTGATTACTAATCAATACTGAATCAAATTAAAATGTAATTGAAATCCATATATAAATACGAATATATATTTCTGTTAATCAACCTCAGTCCTGATCAAAACTGCTGCCTTGTTCAGAAAAATTACAGTTTTTTTTAACTCTTTTATTGCCAAGATCACTAATGTTATCACTGAACACATTTTGCCCCATTGACGTCCATTATAACCACATTTTATGGTACATAAATAGAGTCTTTGTTTTTATTCATACCATGTAGTTCTGAGAGCTGAGATGCATTTTTTGATTTTCTTAGACACATCAAGGTAAGTGCATAAAGGTCACTCACACACACTCACAGATACACATACACACACTTTATTTGCTGTTATACTCCATATAAAATTCAGAAACAAGGCTATATATATACATATATATATATATATATATATATATATATATATATATATATATATATATATATTCAATGCATTTTCTCAAAATAAGATCTATAATTAAAAATTATTCTGCTAGCTGAAACACAGAAAAAGTTATGACCAAATTAAGACACAAAATCACCCCAGAGTGACTGAAAACATCCCCAACAGTACATAAGGGTAAAACTGTATTATGCATGTAGACATTACAGGTTCCACTGTTTATCTTGATATCTGAATAATAGAACTAGCCATTAAAACACCCAACCACTATTTAATAACGGAATAAACATGAGCTATAAGAACAATAATTCTCCTGACCGGTCCTTATTGTCCTTCCATCTGCTTTTACAGCGGCGGGCCATCTTTCCTTTACATCTGCTCTTGCGTGCCGGACCGATCTTTATAGACGTGTCCTCCAGTGCGATAGTCTGCAGAGTCACCTGGTTACCACTCTGTACATCAAAACAGCCAAAACAAAGTAGATGAAACTAACTGAGATGATAAAAAAACCTCTCTTAATTCTATATTATTTATTTATTAATTACTTTGTTAGTTACTACTGAGAATTCATTATCGAAAAAATCCTTATAAACTATTGACAAACTATCTATATTCAGTCATTGTTGAATTTATAGTATAGTCATTGACATTTTACTAGTTTAGTTATGGATCATTACAGACCATTAAAATAAATGTTAAAGATTTGAATAGTCAAAATAATTGTAGATGTGTTGTAATAATTACTATCAAAAGTCAAAATTGCCTTTCAGATAACTAAACTATTCCATTCATTGAACATTTTTATGGACAAATACATTTGTTGACATTTGATGATAAAATTACGACTGTATTTATCAAAACTTATTAACAATGAACATTTTGTGTTACTTTAATACATTTTTTACATAGTAAGACCAATATAAACCAATTAAATAACCAATACACATGTGCAATGATGTGCAACAGTGATTTCACAACAGTTTAAAGTGCTTCAGACCTAATAATCAATTCTTACCATAGTAAAAGCAACTGTCAAATACAGCTTTAAAGGAATATTTCACACAAAACTGAAAATCCTGTTATCATTTACTCATCATCCTGTACATGTAACCAACCTGACAGAGTTCTTTTTTATCTGTTTAACACAAATAAGTTGTTTTGAAAAAAACATTAACGTCCATAGTATATATTTTTCCTATTATCAAAGTCAATGGGTACCAGTAAACCTTCTTCAAATGATCTTCTTTTGTGTTCAACAGAAAAAAAGCTAACTCATAAAAGTTTAGGTAAATAGTGATAGTAAATAGTACATTTTCATTTTGGGGTGAACTATCTCTTTAAGTATGTGTTTTAAAATGTGTGTATTTTGCAAAATTCCTCAAATGACATTTTGTTTATGGTCTACTTTAGAATATTACACAATGGTAATGGATTACACAGCGAATCCCAGCATGCTGCTTTTTAAATACCTTCAGGAGAAGCTCCATCATCTCTGTGTGCACCAGACCTTGCACAGATTCTCCATTCACATGAGTGATCAGATCACCTGCTCGCAGTCCAGCCTCATGGGCAGGACTGCTCTCCTCCACACCCTGACAGACAGGGGAAAAATAGAAGCACAAAACATGGATCAAAATACAGACTAAATTTGGGATGCAAAATATATCAATTCAGCACTGACATATATACATTACACGAACAGGTAATATAAACGATCACGCTCCACAGTTCCAAACACAGGATTTGTGGAGTCATTGCAAAGTTTAGCCTTCATTTTGATTAATTGCCCAGCCGTGCTTTCATTCTATGAAGTCACAAATGCAATTGAGCAAAGCTGAGATTGTCACACACATCTTGTCAGGAAAGGACAGTTGTGTGATCAGTAGTAAATCTCCGGTGAAGGCCGGGTGACTACAAGTGCTGCTAGAGTTCCCTATTTTTCATGATTATTAATCAAAGGCGATGTCACGTTGTACAGTAAAGCAGGTTTACTAGAACCTGCTTTACTGTACAACATGAAATCACCTCTGATTAATAATCATGAAAAATAGGGAACTCTAGCAAAACTTGTAGTAATCGAGAAAATGAAATGAAATAATGCCGAAACGTGTTGCCACTTATTGAATTAAATATTCTCCTTTATTACAAGTGTTGCTGGAGCACCCTCTCTTTTTGATACTATGCTCTTTGGTGTAACCCATTCTGCATCTCTCTGAGTCTGCTACTGTCCACCGGAGGTCACATTTCTCATGCTATGAGAGCCTTTTGAATGAATGAATGACATGCGGTAACCCGGGCTGCTGAAATATTACGAAAACAAAGAAAGCAATCCGGCACGGAAAATACATTTTCAAAGCCGTATATCTGACTTCAGCATTGTTTTATGATAAAAAAAGGATGCTTACTTGGCATGTTTCTTTACTATCTGCAAACATATTATGCTATTTATAAGCTTTAGAAGAGGGGTGTCAAACTCAATTCCTGGAGGGCCGAAGCCCTGCACAATTTAGTTCCAACCCTGCTTCAACACAGTTATCTGTAGGTTTCAAACAAGCCTGAAGGACTCAATTAGTTTGATCAGGTGTGTTTAATTAGGGTTGGAACTAAACTGCAGAGCTGCGGCCCTTTTGGAACTGAGTTTGACACCTGTGCTTTAGAAGAATCAAAAACTTTCATACAGCACCTTTAAGTGTCTAAATTCAGACAGGATGCTTTGTGAAAGGAAGATTTATTAATGATTCTCTGCTCACCGAGACCATGTGGTGTATGGTGTAGATGTCACTGTTCCCCATGTAAACACGAATAGTCTGTAGCGTGAAGCCAAATTTCTTCCCAGAGCTGTGGATGATGATTGGGGGACGGAGCCTGCTGATGCTGAGCGACAGGTCTCGGTTGGGGGAGGAGTCTCGCGATGAGGGATTGGAGGAAAATGAACGAGGGGATATGGAGCGTCCCTGTAGGCTGCCACTCCCGTCATCTGAGGGAAAAAATGAAAAACGTCAAAAAGGTCTTTCTAACGGATGTGATTTATTCAAATGCAGCTTTAATCAAAATAAAAATATCTTCAAAATTTACAAGACTTACATGCGTTCATAAACTGTTTTACAATTTTCATCTCCACTGTACTATTTTACTATATATGAAAAGGACAGTTTTGAGATGTTGCTATGGTAGCTGTGTTTTTTGGTAGCCGTGTTTGGGGTCTGACCTGGAGTAATGATGAGTGAGAGAGTGGACACTGATGCGGATTTGGGGACTTTGCGTCCTGGTGAGAGTCGCTGTTTGTCGGGTGTCTCCAGCTGGTTTCCAAAGCATGGAGGACCCCCTTGTTCCCTTGGAGACGAGTGTTTCGTTCCTGTGCTGTTGCTACGTAGCCTGATTCTTCGCAGGTTAGAAACGACAACTTCAGCTGCAGAATTAAAACACAAATCCACCTTAGTGACTGCATTATTATATTATTAATATTTTTGTAGTATTATTATAGAAAGACTAAAGACTGAACATTGTTAATGGACACATTTTCAATACAATTCTGCACAATCCATAAGAGGTTTTCTTTGAGGAGAGGATTTTTTTTTTGTTTTTATTTTTTATACATTTTTAAAAAGAGAAAATCATCAGACAGCAGAAGTAAAACATATCAGATTCAAAAGCCCTTTTCCCCATCATTATTGAGTGCTGCAGGGATTTTTATTTTTAAATGAAGGCTGAACGAGATGTGGGAAGCCTAATTGTGGTAAGGCAACTAAATGAGAAAAATAAAATGTATACACACACATTTGTAAAACGAAATGAAATCAAGAATATTTGATCTGTTAATTCACTCTTTAAATTGTATTTAAAATACAGAGAACAGACTTTGTTGACCAGTGTTTTCCCTGACAAACCTAAATGTATTTTGTAAATATAAGTAAATTATCATTTTGATGTCTGGAACACACCCCATAGAAAAAATACAGTAGGCGAAATAAAAGTGAAAAGGTTACAGAACATCAGAGTGAGCAACCTTCTTACAGCCGTCTTCAAAAATCATTAAAAAAAATCTTCTGATTCCAAACTTTTTACTTTTAAAATGTTTTCTAATCCAAATTATTACAATACCACTTTATTATTACAATTATTAATAAAAGTTAAACAACTTAATAAATACAAATTTTGTATTCAAAATTTCAGCTGAAGTCAGAATTATTAGCCCCCTTCGAATTTATTTCTTCTTTTAAAAAATATTTTCCAAATGATGTTTAACAGAGCAAGGATATTTTCACAGTATGTCTGATAATATTTTTTCTTTTAGAAAAAGTCTTATTTGTTTTGTTTCGGCTAGAATAAAAGCAGTTTTAAATTTTTTAAAAGCTAATAATTCTTCTAATAATTTTTCTAATAATTCTGACTTCAACTGTATATTTAATCAAAGGGATAGTTCACGCAGAAAAAGAACAATTCTGTCACCATTTAATCATTTTTATTTATTTCAAATATATATACAAGTTTCTTTATTCTGTTAAACACAAAAGAAGATATTTTAATGAAAGCTAGAAACCTGTAACCATCAACTCTGATTTTATATATTTTTTATTTAGTATTTATTTTCCCTACTATGAAAAAATATCTTCTTCAAAATGTCTTCAAGATATCATCTTTTGTGCTCAACAGAAGAAAGAACTCAAAGGTTTTGAACCACTTGAGAGAAAGAGTTAATAGTGAGCAAATTTTAATTTTCGGAGTGAACTACCCCTTTTAATACAATTTCATGATCATTCTCAAAAGGATCACCATTGACAGATGTGACACAACATGTTTATTATAGTTGAATAAATTGTCAGTCAGCTTACCTTCATCATCAGTGGACAGAGCGAAACGAGGCATGGCCTCCAGGCTGTGTGTGCTGCTCACCACTAGAGGACTTACAGCTCGCTCAGGCTGAGAAGAGCTGGAGGAGGTTCGAGGGCGCAGGCTGAAAAAAAATAAACATGCATTTAAAGTGCATAGGGAAAATAACGTCTAACTGTGCCACAATAAAAACACACAAGTAAAAGATAATCTATCACCAGCTATCCAGCATCTTAAAATAAAACCCAACAGGGAGATCAGGACCTTGATGGGATAAACATTCCCACTTACTACATGGCTAATTGAGAGTAAATAAGTAGACATGAAAAATTGAATAGAGTTAAAATACATTAACTTAAAAAAAAATAAAAATAAAAATTAGGAAGCTTTTTCATAGCATTCAGCTATAAGCATTAGATAAAAGCACAAATTCAACGTATAATACAGATATTTCAGTCATAATATCATGACATCTACACTGCTTTACACCACATATATAACTACAGTGATAGTAATGTGAAATTTTGATTAAAAAAGAAATAAGGCAACACCAGGTTTTATAATGACCTTGTTTCACATGTACTTCTTATAGTTGAGAGTAAATTATAAATAATAGGATGCAACTAATCCTGAACATAAGCCTTATTCCAAACATATTTAGCATGTGTAGTTAACTTACTTTCCTGTGTACTAAAGTCTAACAAGAAATTCTTTCAAAATCCTAGCTGAATAAATCCTCATTTAATTCATTACATCGTAATTTTTTTAACAAGCTCTGAGATACTGAATCTCTCCTATTTCACTTACCAGCAAATAAAGTCTTTAGATGAGAAGCAAGATGGTAGCGACTACCCAAAAACACTATTGGGGATATGCTTATTTTTCAAAATCTAAGTCTATTTATGGAAAAGCCCTAAAAATATATAGCATAAAACTGTTATTTTCTGCATTGTTTAATATGCTGTAGTTGTTTGCCACAACATGTCAGTAAATTGGCATTTTATGAGTGAACATAATTCTTTATCGTCACCTTGCCCTCTGCGCCGAAAGCCTCTTGTCTCCAGTGGAGGCCTGTCGTTGGATCTCTCCATGGTAGTGAGTGTCTGCCCGGTCCTCTATCTCTTCACTATGACTGCGGTCTGAGGAAAAACTCAGGTTGGATGGGGTTGCCAGGTGCTCTGTGCTGCTGTACACCTACACAATTGTGAATAAAAATGCTGAGTTTTTAGAAACCAGAATAACTGCACAAAAAAATCAAGTATTGAATGTAAGGTGGATGGTAAAAAAAAGAAAAGAAAAATGAAGACCTCCTTAATTGCACAAAAAAGGAAACTATTGGAACAATTCTTTTTGTTTTATCTTTATTTGACTGAGGCACAGCAGCACTGAAAATGAAGAGAATCTGTTCTAAATTGTGGTCAGAAAAAGGCATTGTCAGTAATAAAATAAGCACTTCTGTGACAGAGATATGATAATATTACCATCAAATTTAACTTGTTTTCTGCATTAAATAAAAAGCCTATCATCCTTAGGTGATTATTTACAATTTTACATGTATCAAAGATTCTGAAAAAATTATCAGAACATATATTGATCTGAATTAACCATGTTTAAAAATAAACAACATTCAATATATTTGTGCTTTAGTTGATATTATCAAATGTGCAGATTGTGCAGTTGCATTTGAAACAAATCTGCACCTGCAGAGCAACTCACTCGTCATCATGATAACAAGTTGTTTTAGTGCCACCTACTGGCAGAAAACGAATTAGCACTTTTATCAAACCGGTCAACAGTTTTCTGCATGTGAGCTTTATGTAGTATAAACTCAAAGTTAAATCATTGTGTTTTTAATTCATACTTGAAAAATTCTACAAAATAATTTGAAAAACAAATTGCTCAAATTAGCTAATATACACAGAATCGTTGTCTCCTTTTACTGGTTTCTAGCTTAATAAGATGAAATTAATTCAGTATCAGAATTGGTTATGAAAAAAAAAACACCAAGACTGGATAAAATCAATACTTTTGCTTTCATGTCATAAATGATAGGGTCTGCTTTTTATAGCCATCATGACCAAAGTGAATGATGTACGACTCAACACAATTTTGCTAATTTGTTGCCAAATAAGAGTTGGATACTCAGACATCAGCTTACACCTTGTTTAATCAATTACTATATAAAGCAGAGATGATAAATATATTTGCTTATATATCGTAACGTATGGCTATTTCATGGCAAGATACTTATTACATATAATAACAACAACAACTTCATAATACCAGATGATACAAAAACAAAATCAATAAAAATGACAAAAGTTTACATTAAAACTTAAGATTAGATTTTTCAGTTCAAAATATGATAAATAACTTTAAATTCTTCCAGAGGACACATTTTTAAAAACATCCATCCGAGCGCTCTCAGTAAAACAATCTTGCCTTGCAACGTTAAAAATTTCACATTCTAATATGTTAGATGATAAATAAGAAACTAGTTACTATGCGCTTGGTTTAAGAGTAGGCAGTGAGAGTAGAAATTAATTTTACAACCCCAAAACAGAAAAAGTTGGGACAGTATGGAAAACGCAATAAAACAAGTTGTGATTTTCTAAATTTACTTTAACTTGTATTTCATTGCACACAAAATATCATTTAATGTGTTCCTCATGATGTTTATTGTTTTATTTCAAAATAAATACGTTTTACGTTTAAGTTCTTGCAACAAATTTAAAAAAAGTTGGTACAGGAGCAATTTAGGGCTAATAATCAGGTAAATTGGTTAAATAATGATGTGATTTGAAACAGGTGATGTTTGGTACAAAAGCAGTTTCCAAGAAAGATCTAGTCTAGTCCTCAAGTAAAGACTGCCAGTTTGCCAACAAATATGTGAAAAAAATTATTAAAATGTATAAAAACAAAAGTTCATAAAAGAAAGATAGAAAGACATTTGAACAGTGCACAAAATAATTAAAGGATTCAATCTGGTAGAATTTCAGTGTGTAAAGGACAAGGGCACAAGGGCACAGTCTAAGCTGAACAACCGTGATTTACCGATGCCTCAGATGCCATTGGTGTCATTCATCTATCAGCCATATCACCACTCAGGCTCAGGACTACATTGGCAAATCTTTGCCAAGTACCACATTACATAGTTACATCCACAAATACCAGTAAGTGTACTTTGCCAAAAGGAAGCCCTTTGTTAACAGTGTGCAGAAGCGCTGCTGACTCCAATAATTGAATGTGTTTATTTTGAAAAAATAAAATAAAATAAAAATCACGAGGAATACATTAAATAATGTTTGTTGTATTGTCTGCAATGAAATACAAGTTGAATTAAATTTAGAAATCACAACTTTTTTTCATTTGCGCTTTCCATACTGTCCCAACTTTTTTCAGATTCAGGGTTGTAGGTGATTAAATGTAAAAGCCTTTTCTGTCTCAAAAAAATAAAAATAAAATAAATTGGTCAATAAAGATTAAAAGATCAACAAAGTGAATATGATGTTTTATATGTCATCATTGTATTTAGAAAGCAAAAGGATCACACCTTGCTAAAACGATTTGACCAAGAAGAAAACCGTCGTATTTCCAAGGAAGACTCTTCATCATTAGTTTCTTCATCCTCATCAGAAGCCAAATGATGGTAGCGTTCAGAGCGTGCTGCACAGAAGGGGAAAAACAAACAAATAAAACAAAAGAAGAGTTGAGGATTTAAAGAATAACAGGTATGTACAATAAAGAAATAATAATTGCATCTCAGTGCATAAGCCGCAAGAATGAGTTGACATTTTCAGAGCACTCCGCTTCAGGCATTTGTGTAGCACAAAAAATCTCCTCCCTGTGTTGAATTAGTGAGACTTACTGTCAAAATAACTAGTGTCATCTTCACCCTCCAGCTGAGGGATGAATTCGGCTTTCTGACGAAGGAGTCCGTTCCAGTCCAGACCACTGAAGAACATATGCTGCTTTACTTCTGGAGCTCCACCTAACAAACATAGAAAAACTCATCACAACAGTCCAGAATAGGGTTGGGTCCATTGCTGATGGCCGATAGACATCACAATGCCGAGCTGGCATAGCGATCCTCGCCCCTGTCGCAGCAGCAACCTGCTTGCAAAAAATACACACTTAGGTCCCGTTTACACTAACACTGTGTGTCTTAGTTTTAAATGGTATTTTTGAATGAAAATGATCCACGTCCACACTGCCGTTTCATCTAGCATTTCTGAAAAGATCTCTTTTCACACTATACCAATAAAAACCCACATCATGCGACCACACTCTCTGGCAAGCGCTGCAGCATATGCGCACATCTGAGCTCCAGGCAGTCAGCGGGAGCTTTGAGCACAAATCCCCAGAGAGCAGTGCAAGTCGAACAGTTTATCAAGAATGTACAGCTGGATCGTAACTCGCTGTTGAATTGTTAAACGTGATGTTCTATCAGGTAACGTCACAGTCACTGCTTCAATGTTTTGCTTTTACGCTTGAACTTAGTACTTTTTGCAAAAACCTCAGATACTGTTGGATGGCTCCTGTTGTTTGTGGACCATTTTTACCAGCCAAGTTTGTTGACGCCATTATAACACAGAACACTCTGCCTATTTATGCCAGAGACCAGCAGAAAAAAGTGATTTACAGGTGGAAATTTGTGTGTAACCTTTCTTTATTAATTTAAGATTTGGTTATGCAGATATTTTGGTTATTTGCAGATGAACAGAAACATGTTTTATAGTGGTTTATTTCATATAAGATGGTGTAAATGACTTAGGTGTAGAATAATTTAAAATATAAATTTTGAATGAGTTTTATGCTCAAAAAATACTATGGCTAAAAATACCAAAAAAAGTTTGACAGTGAATCATTATAAATTTAAAGAGCCCCTATTATACATAAACAAGGGTCATATTTCGATTATATGGGCCTCCAACAACATAACGGATATGCATGCAGGGTCAAAAAACACTTTCGTGGTCTTATAATTTTAATTTATTTTTACCTAATTATCCCAGCATCTCCCATATGAATCGTTCAGTGATTCATTTTTCCCAAACCCCTCTTTAGCACGAAGCTAATCCGAGCCGACTGGACCAATGACAGCCTGTTGTGATGTCAAGCCCCTGGTTCATCAACATTGGTAAAGGATCCGATTGCAGCGGACGCCCAAACACGTTTCATAGGTAAACTTACTTAACAGTGTTATTTAGACACCTTACCACCAAAAGCAGTGTAGTTAAACACCAGGATATTGCTCCATTCTTATCTATGATACATATTCAGTATTAATCAACACAGCAGCAAAAGCTAAACTATACTGAACCTTGACCACCGTACGTGTGTAGGAACAGCGGACGGTAGCCATAGCAACAACCAATGGCAGTGGCTCACAAACGCATTTAAATCCGATAACAAAGCAGCATACTGTATGCGGTGTGTTTTCAATGTGGCATTAAACGAAAATATAACCTTATAAAGTACGAGCGGTTACAAGTAACAAAACATAATTAAATACATCATTTGCAGGCTAGAGAAAACAAGGAGACAAGCCATTTACTTACACTTATGAAATGTGTCACGGACCAGGTATGATTGTATTAATTTTCTTTCATTTTGGAGCTTTTCTCCCTTCTCAGCTGCAATTTAATAATTTCTATTCGCAATCATTGCTGTGGCACCTCTTGCATGAGTGTTATATGTTCTCAGGGTCTTACCTGTACTTTGCTTTGCCCAATAATCACATCCCCAGCCAGGGGTTTGTAGCGCTCACCAGCGCTCCTCCTCAGTGAAGCAGGCTGCTTATGTGCCTAATAAACTGGCCTTATTTTCACGCACCCCTGGTGTATTGTCTGTCCATTCGTCTCACAAGTCTCATAAATCAGTAGTCTTTTCTGATCCTTCCTTTAACAAACGAATGAATCTCCCATTCAGGTAAGCACAGCATCTTCATGACTCATGATGACTTCAGGATTTGTTCGTGTTTGCTGCTGTGTTAGTGGGCGGGGCCGCAGGTTTAAAGTTTCCCGGGTTTGCGCGTGCAACAATGGCATGCACTAAATTCCAGGGGTTTCATTACCACGACGTAAAATGGGCGTGGCTCGGTCGGTGTTTGGGAAACGCCCCCTTAAAAAAAAACAATACTGAGAGGTCACCGATCATGCGCAGTACAGGTTCTTTTTTAGCGCGGTCATTTCAAACAGGATGATAATGGATAAAGAACCTACCGCGGTGGATAACGAGGGAAAAAACAATCATACAGGTTGTTTTTTTGGTTTTATAATGTTATATTTTAAAGATTTCATTAGCAAAAACGGCTGACCTCGTTTTACTGTCTCTGGGCTTTTGTACTTCCATTTTAAACCAAATAATAATGGTTGTGGTAAGATTAATGGTTGTGGTAAGATTAACCGTGTTTTTGTAGTTTAAAATATGGTATTCAGTCATGTTTAAACAAATAAATACCACATTTTCTGTAATAAATCGTGGTTAATTTTTCTTTCTCGATCTTAGTTAATTAACATAACTCATATTTATTTTCTATTTTTATTTAAAGTCATCATACACAAAACAACTGGGATCAGGACAGGTATCTGATGTTAATATATATAAAAGTGATCATACATGAAACCCCTGGGATCAGGACAGGTATCTGATGTTAATATATATAAAAGTGATCATACATGAAACCCCTGGGATCAGGACAGGTATCTGATGTTAATATATATAAAAGTGATCATACATGAAACCCCTGGGATCAGGACAGGTATCTGATGTTACTGTATATAATATAAAAGTGATCATACATGAAACCCCTGGGATCAGGACAGGTATCTGATGTTAATGTATATAAAAGTGATCATACATGAAACCCCTGAGATCAGGACAGGTATCTGATGTTAACTAATATAAAAGTGATCATACATGAAACCCCTGGGATCAGGACAGGTATCTGATGTTAATGTATATAAAAGTGATCATACATGAAACCCCTGAGATCAGGACAGGTATCTGATGTTAATATATATAAAAGTGATCATACATGAAACCCCTGGGATCAGGACAGGTATCTGATGTTAATATATATAAAAGTGATCATACATGAAACCCCTGGGATCAGGACAGGTATCTGATGTTACTGTATATAATATAAAAGTGATCATACATGAAACCCCTAGGATCAGGACAGGTATCTGATGTTAATGTATATAAAAGTGATCATACATGAAACACCTGAGATCAGGACAGGTATCTGATGTTAATATATATAAAAGTGATCATACATGAAACCCCTGGGATCAGGACAGGTATCTGATGTTAATGTATATAAAAGTGATCATACATGAAACACCTGGGATCAGGACAGGTATCTGATGTTAATGTATATGATATATAAAGTTTTTGGCACAAAAGCCGTGGGATCGGGACAGGTATCTTAAGTTATAACAGTATTAATGTAATCTGAGAGGTATCTTAAGTTAATTTGTTTAATATAACATTCACTGAATTCACATGAAACACCTGCGATCAGGACAGCTATTTAGTACTGCATATAAAAGGCATTTGACACGAAACCCCTGCAATACGTACAGGTATCTGAATCAAACGGCTGTTTTCACAATCTGCGCATGATCCGTGACCTATGCAAATTCACAGATAGGCCACGCCCACCCGATGACGCAGTAGCGGTTACGCTGTACTGAAACCCCTGGAAAAAAGTGCCTGCCGTGCAACAATTGGGCGGGGCTTATGTTTCATAGCCACGTCACACCAAAACGGCTAAAGACTCATAGTGGTTAGAATGAATCGTCATCATAATGAGTCGACTTTTTTTTTTGTTTTTTAGATGAATCAATAGTTTTAAAAGCGGTCCACTTTCAGATTCAAGCCTTAGCTGGATATTTCACTTCACTTAGAGCTGTGTTACACACTACATAAAAGGTCATTTTCAAAAACCCAAAATAGGGGCTCTTTTAGGGTTAAAATAGTTGCCTGTGATACATTTTAAAATGTAATACATGCTTAAAGAATCATCCAGCACTAAAGACTAAAATATAAAGGCTAAATATTTAGATCAACCTTTAAAAGAACAAATATTTATTTATTAAAATAATATATGACAAAAGTTAATATATTATATGACAAAATAAATATTATTTTTTGCATATATATATATATATATATATATATATATATATTTTTTTTTACCATTTTAGCAGCTTAGATTTCAGATAATTTTATTTTGGACAAGGAATTTCAGAAAGTTACAGTTTATTTGAATACTTTTTAAGTATTTATTTTTTAAAACAACTAACAAACAACAAATGAATGAACAAGCACCTGTTCCAAGTCTCTCCAGCGGGCTCTGATTTAGTAATCGTGTGATCATGTCCTGGGCGTCTACAGGCAGGGCATCATCTCCATCTGGCCAGATAATCTCATCTGCATAAAGAACACAGGGTATCAAATCCTTTTACGGCAGTCCATTTTAAACCAGTTGGCAAAGTGTTCTGAATCTTTTAGCAGTATAAGTATCTGCAGCTGACAGAGTGGTTTAAAAGTGCCCTACATAGAAAATCTGGGGATACCTATGGCTAAAGTCGAACGTTAAGAGTTCTGTACTAAAGAGTGGCCATACCATGAGCCTCAAATTGTCTTTTCGTTCCTATATAAATTCCATAAGAGTAAAAAAATGCATGAAGAACACAAAGCAGACAGTTATGCATGTTAGCATGCCCTCAACATTTGCATGTACTTTAAGTCACATTCTACGTCAGCCAGAACGGCACAATCAGCCAAAACATCAAAAGTTCATCAGCCAAAACACAGACTGATTTGTTGCATATGCGATCATTAATATGCACACGCCAGGCTGCGTTTGATTAGCCACAACCAGGGATGGGCAAAAATATATTAAAATGCATTTTAAAATAAAATACCAAACACCTCCATTTTACCTCCACAAATTTATCAAAATAAAATACTGTATTTTTGTATTTTAAAAATACTACAAAATACTTTACAAGTTAGCATGAACCTTCTTTGCAAACCTTCCATAAACAGGTCAATTCGATCTATCCCTTCACTTTTAAACTTGAAGTAAACAATGTCTGATATCAACAGCTTTTCTCTGAGCAAGTTTTAGCAGATTCTCTGCCACCTCGTTCACCTCCAATCCTACTGTACATCAGTACATATCTATACATTTTTATTTGTTATCTGCATTGAACAGGGCTTTCTGTTTGAAATTTGTACAACAAATATACTGAATGAATAAAAAAGAAACGAGTTAGAATATAGTAGTACATCTGTTGATCTGTATTTGATGTTTCCCCCGATTGTGACCAGTAAAATTTATACAATCTCTGAATAATTATTATAATTTAACCTCTTAACATTCTTATATTTTAAAAGAGTGATATATGAACCGTTTAATTTTAAATAAATTTTTTCCCCAAAGAATATTTCATAAATTAGTTTTTGTGAAAACTCTTTAATAGGCCTACTCAATGTGTTCTGAAAACTAAAAACTCCACTTTTAGTTATTTCCATATGTAATTTCTATATAATTTCTTCAATGCACAACATTAAAACATGATATCTCAAAATTACTAAATATGGAGTTATCGTTTTTTGCAAATAATCTCTTCATATATACAAGTCAAATGTTTTTGACTAGTCTGTGTAGACTGAATTGCTGTCTTTAATATAAATAAATTCTGTTCTAATCTCAAGTCTAGGCAAATATCTGAGAAAGGACCAATATGAAAGTGCATTTTCATGATGTCATCGTGTAGACTCCTTACAAATTATTTTACAGTAACATACTAATATACACTAAAGTATTTTGTTACAAAATATTAAGACATTTTTATCAACCCTAGTAAATACAAATGACTAAATACTATTTTGTAATATGCATTTTAAATACATGTACCATAAATACTACCCATCCCTGATCGCAATGTACACTAGTGAGATTGCAGAAAGAGAGAGAGGGGACTCTGAGAGCTGTCTCAGAGCAAAGCTAATTAATATTCACAGCTGTTCCAAATATGGTCAATTACGACCTTCTGCTTCATGGGGTATTTTATAGGGAAGTAAATGAACATATATAACGGTTTCTGTATTATTTAAGCCATATACCTAATATGTAGATTTCAGTAAACAATTGAACTTATTGAATCAATTCAGTATCTGGCACCTTTAAATAAGCACATACATCTAAACTCACCACTGACAACCTGCCCAAAAAGCTCTTCTGGTGTATCTCCAAAGAACGGAACACATCCCACAAGAAACTCATACAGGATGATTCCCATGGCCCACCAGTCCACTGGCTTTCCATAGCCCTGTCGAAGGATCACTTCTGGGGCAATGTACTCTGGAGTGCCACAAACCTGTAAACACAAATCAGAGAAAAAACTGATTGATCTAGAGAAACAAAGAAATAAATGAAGATTAGTCCACCCCAAATTAACACTGTTCCAACCTCATTTGACTTTTATTTATCTTTATTTTTAACGAATTGTGAGTTTCTGAACTAAAACTATGATGCTTCACAACTGTTAATAAATAGATAGCAAAATAATCCTTATTTATTAAGCAGTTTGATCCAAATCCTATTAAAAGACTTTCAGTTTATAAGACATTATTCACATTTTAACACAAATCAGCAAATGTTTATATTAATCATCTATATGTGACCATAGACAACAAAACCAATCTAATGCTGCAATAGCCAACAGTTAAAAAAACACATTGCATTGGTCAAAATTGTTGGTTTTTATCTTATTTCAGAAATAATTTAAATACCAAGTAAACAATCTTCTATGAATATTTCATGAATATCATTCTGTAAATACATCAAAACTTGATTTTAGTTTTTAAAGGAGATTTCTCCTTATTAAAGCCCTCCAAATTCAGATTTTTAAATAGAGGCAAAGCTCAAAACAAAATGATATAATAAAGCTTATTATATTTTTTTTAAACATTGACATTTATGACTAGTGTTGTGATCTAGAGTCACATACCGTCATGGAGGCTAGCATGCTGGCTTGATGCACAAAACTTATTGAGATTCATTTGTCACATCAGCATGTTTGAACTTTCCACAAAAACCAGTTAGGTGTGTTCTTTCATGTCAAGCAGGTTTAGTTGAGCTTCTGTTGATGTTTGCTAATCAATTAATGCATGCTGATAAAAGACTAACACAAATCCATTTATTTTTTGTGACACTTTAGAACAACTGGACTATGGTTTAATTTACAATCTCTTTGTAAATGTTTTATGCCAGATTTTTGGGCAAATACTTTCAATGGAGGGACAGAAATCACTCAGATTTCATTTAATGTCTCTCAATTTGTGTAACAACATCATGAGGTTTGGAAAACAACATAAAACAACAAAATGAGATTCAGTAAATGATGATTTTTTTTAAAGTTTCAATGATCAAACTAATGCAAAATAAATAAAAAAAAACTGTCATAACTTGTTCAAACTGTATTGGCATTTCAAATGTATACGCTTTAAAAGACATACTGATTGTATTTAATTAACTAGAATAGAAATTTAATGGAAGCCAATTGGAAAAACAAAAGTGGTATGGTTCATGTTGGTTTAAAATATTTAAGTTTGGCTCCTAAAAAAAAAAAAAAAAAAGAGGAAGAAATGCATGTTATTTTGTAATAACTTAAAGAGGGAAAATATGATGAAAATGTATATTTTTGGGTGAACTATCCAAAAATATTGCATGAAAATTAAAAAAAAATGTATTAAAGAGGTATTGTGCTGTGGCCCAAACCTGCTTGTCGATAAACTCTCTGGTGTCCTTCTCAATGTGGCCCTCGTACAGATTGGTCGTCATATTCATAAGTCCGATTTTGGAAAGCCCGAAGTCAGTAAGTTTAATGTGTCCCATTGAAGTAATCAAGAGGCTGTGAAGTGTAAACAGATCATTTAAAAACAGCTGAATTGAAAAATATTCACATAAATGGAGGGTTTATTTCTATTCTCACTTGTCTGGTTTGAGATCTCGGTGCACAATGCCGTAACTGTGAAGGTACTCCAACGCCAGAACAGTCTCTGCAAAATACATTCTAGTCATATCCACTGGAAGCGGACCCATGTTCTTCAGTAAAGTAGCACAGTCACCACCTGGAGAGAATTAAAAAATTTACATGCATATACATTATAAACACACTTTTTGCTCCTATTTGTCATGAGCTCACCTAAATTCAAAACAATTTCTATGTACACACAAGTTAAAATATTCTAAATCTGTGTTGTGCCGAGATCACACTGCATGAGTTTCAATATCATCAGGCCGCTGTTGTTTTCACGCTGGGGTAGCATTCAGCTGCTGCTGTTCACACTGCACAATGGATGAGCAACAGGACGATACACACTGCATCATTGCACTAGAAACAAATCGCTTGCAATTCTATATGGCTCTGAACGAACTTAAGTGATGAGGAAATAAGACAATTATCAAGTGTGAGACTGGAAATGCAATAAGTATTTTAAAAAATTTGAATATAGCCCTCTCGTTGGCTGCAAGTCATTGCCGATGTGTTTTTCAGTCAGAACTCCTTTCACAGAGCATGATTTTCACCAACAGGAACAGACATTTAGCGTTTTAATCTAGCAATTCTCTTAGTCATTGATAAGTCACAGTGCATTTTATCGCTGATGTGAACGAGCTTCAATTTGCCTTAACCATAGTTTTTAGGCAATCGTCTGCAATTTTCTTAAAACCTGAGATAATGCTAAATTCGTTCAGTGTGAACTCTGCAACATTGAGTGCTTCTGCTTTGTCGAGATAATTCATCCACCTCACAGGTGTGGCAAGTCAAGATTTTGCTTTAGACGGGTCACAATAAAAGGTCACTTTAAAATGAGCAGTTTTATCACATAACCTAAAGCACAACATTTGTTTTATATAAGCAATTAATTTCTGCACAAATTGTGTCCATCTCAGTTACGCTCATCTGCATGCTTGCTGTTTTTATGAGGGTCTCGACAAGCCGTGTCGAAAGTAAAAAAGGAAATGCACACATTCAATGCAGCATGATAATGCACAGCCTCATTTTGCAAGGATCTGTACACAATTCCTGGAAGCTGAAATCATCCAAGTTCTCTTGCATGGTCGCATATTTACTAGTTTGTCACCCACTGAGCATGCTTAGTATGCTCTGTATCAGCATACACAACAGTTTGTTTCAGTTGCTGCTAATATCCAGTAACTTCGCAAAGCCATTAGAGTGGACCAACATAGTCACAATCAACAACCTGCACATTTAAAGCTGTGATCACACTGCCCTTTTCGCCCCATAGACTTCCATTTATACACAAGTGAATGCGTTAAACCGGAAATGCAAGCTCGTGCAACAAGTTACCCAGCTCGCTGTGTTGCAAATTTCAAGCATGATGACTATGTGAGACCAAACAGAAATCAAAACATGACCTCTGTGTACAGAAGTTTTAAATATGGACCAATCGGTCGCTTTTTTAATCATCTTAGTTAATCCTGCCCTTTTTTACAGCGTCATACCACAGAATTTTGCATACTCAAACTCTAGTGTGCCCGTAGCATTAGAGTGACCATATATTGTGGTCAGCCTAAGACACTAGGGATGCACGATATATTGGCGACCATATCGTTATCGGTTGATAAATACTTTAAGATTATCGTTATCAATCCAATGTCTAAATTAGGCCGATATCTTTAAGCGATAAATTACGTAATTGTACAGAATTGCCGGCCTCGCGCATGCGTGGGCGGAACTTGTTCAGACTCGTCCAGTGCACTATAATGGATCTCTCCTCACACTGTTTATTGCTTCAAAGTCCGTCCTTTTTCATTTGGTATAGCTGTGTGTTAATAACTAAATAAGTAACAATGTTCCTTATCATTGTAGATATGTTTGAATGAGTGCCATTGTGCATTTTGTTTTAAACCACCTGAGGAAAAAAATATTACATGCGTAAACATTACAGCAGCGATGCACACGTGGGTTGTTTGTAATCTAATGATTATTTGTTATTATCAACACGTTGCTTGCCATGTGTTGTTGATGCAAGATTGTATTTAGTTTAATCAGAATATTCATAGATTATAATGAGCACGTTTGAGAGCTGTCACCGCACACACACACACACTGATCTGACAGTATTCACTGCAGCACAGGGGAGCAGTTCGCCCTCAACTCGTCACCACAGTCTGTCTTTATTTTATGCTATGTGTTTGTCATAAAGTCATCTGTGTGCTCAACACTGTTTGTATCAAAATCTGACTTCGAGGGCAAATCTGTACTGAGTGAAACTCACAGCCATTTATCATAAACTTTTCATCGATCATTAACAAACATAGAAGCATTGTCTGATTGACAAGCAGCACCTACATGTATTCAAAAGAATCTAAAATGCCAAATAGGATGAATCTATGCCGCATTTTTTAAAGTAAAATGTACCATCTATATTTAGCTATTCGCTTGTACGGTGGCTCTGAACTGTCAAAAAAAACTCTAAAAAAGGCTTTTATGGACATGACATATTTGTACATATGTACATCACTATAACACGTTTATTCAAGAACATTTGAGTTGGTTTCGGTCCTTAGCTCTTTCATTTTCATTTTATTTAAAATATATTTAACTTGCTTGTTGATTAAATCCCATTTTGTTATTTAAGCTATTATTTTTATGCAACAGTCAAGTTGCATGTTAATTTGTTATGAAAAAAAGCTAATAATTTATTTTTTGCATGCTGATTCATGTGAAATTGTGAATATAGGTCTATATAATCACCTTGTAATTTAGAAATTATAGCTTTTTTGCTTTGAGTATAGACTATTCAGTTTATAAGAGCAGTTCAATCTTTTAGAAAGTTTGCTGTGAACAAATAAAACATTTTGAAATATTTATAATTATCGGCCTATATATATATATATATATATATATATATATATATATATATATATATATATATATATATATATATATATATATCGGCCTCCAAGTCTGAAGAGTTATCGGTTATCGATATCAGCCAAAAAAATCCATATCGGTGTGGATATGGATAAGACATGCCTGTGCAATAATCATGATTTCTCATCAGCATCTTGATATGCCATATCTGTGAGCTGGATAGATTACATCTGCAAAAGAAATTGCTCTTGAACACAGATTTAAACAAATGTATGGACAATATTTGAGGGAAATAGGTTTTTTGTGTATAAAAGTAAAGTTTTACACCTTTGTATTCACCAGATAAAAAAAAACAAAAAAACATTGCATTCATATTTTTGTTGCGTGTATTAATAGTAATACATATTTAGTTAATTATTTTATAACTACACAATACTTTATTTTTATGTTACCCAAACATAATCATAAGATTACCTTCCACATACTCCATGACCATGCACAAATGTCTCCGTGTCTCGAAGGAGCAGAACATGCTGACCACAAACGGATTCTCTGCAAACGTCAGGATGTCTCTCTCCACAAACACCTGCTGGATCTGGTTCCGCAGTATTAGGTTTTGTCGGTTGATTTTTTTCATTGCAAATCGTTGGCGAGTTTCTTTATGCCTTACCAGATGCACAGCCCTGCAGGAGAGACAGAAAAAAAAGTATAACCAATAGATCTTCTAATACATTTATTTGAATATTTTTAGCTATACATATTAAAATGAAGTACAGAGTTATGGCCTAAGCACAAGTGGGTTTACAGTACGAAATTACATTTATTTAGTATATTTTATTGCTATATATCACCAAACTCAGATTTTTTTAACATTTCATTTAGATTTTTAATATATTACACTCTTTAGAACAGTCATCATTTCAGCAATTTGAGTTAACCCTTAAATATATATCTATATTAGGGATGTGCGGAGCAGCCGGTATTTGTATTTGTTGAGGGGGGAAAAGTATTTGTATTTGAGTAAAATTCAAAATGGCGCAAAAATACATATTTTTTCTATTACACTTCTAATTTACGTTATAGTGAAAGCATTGTTTAATTATACCCATTATATAAATTATAGATATGCAATATTGGCTGTTGTTTTTGAACATGTGATAAGAAATGTTATTGAAAAGAAAATAACATAGAAGCCTTTATCTCACCCATGGTTAAACCAACAACTAATAAAATACCATTGTGAATATTATGAACCCCACCACCACCGTTCTTGTTGAAGGACACTGAATAGACAGAATGAAAACAAATAATACTTCAAAAAACTGTTCTTCTTCTGAAAGAACTTCTTTCCAATGCACAGAATTCCAAAAACTAAAATTAACAAAATAAATCTAAATAAAACCCTGCCTGGGAGATCTGGCAGAACAAAAGTATTCTATATAATACTAAAAGATACAGCCCTGCTATTGTCATCTGCCTGCCACAAAACAGACACAAAGTTTGTTTGTTTGTTTGTTTTATGTTTGAAACTGACTTGCTGGGGCAGAATGTGGCTGTGTTGGTGGTTTGGTGCTTGTGGAGGATTTAGCAGAGCATAGCTGTGCTAACTGAGGGGATTGATGCTTGTGGGGGGTTCACAGACAGTATCAGGAGAGGATGCTTTTAGTGCATGTGATAATACATTACATAGAAGGTTGCGCGGTGGCACAGTGAGTAGCACTGTCGCTTGACAGCAAGAAGGTTGCTGGTTCGAGCCCCGACTGGGTTCTCCCCATGTTGGCGTGGGTTTCCTCCGGGTGCTCCGGTTTCCACCACAGTCCAAACACATGCAATACAGGTGAATTGGGTAAGCTAAATTGTCCCTATTATATGTTTGTGAAAGAGAGTGTATGGATGTTTCCCAGTGCTGGGTAGCAGCTGGAAGGGCAGCCACTGCGTAAAACACATGCTTGATAAATTGGTGGTTCATTCCACTGTGGCAACCCCAGATTGATAAAAGGATTTAGCCGAAGAGAATTGAATGAAAGATTATGGATAGAAGATGTTGACAGATGTTTAATATCTCTGCCTCTGCTGATTCCACTTTTGCACACATTATACAGTATCACTTTGTTTTATCTGCAGCACCACTGACTGTAAAATGCTTCCACACAGAACCTGAAGGTTTTTTTTTTTTCTTTTGACTGGTGGAGGACCAAGAAATGGCTCAGCAGCAGTCTTTTTCACTCTTTTTCTGGGTGCCCAAATGTATTTGAGGAGTTTCAAATTAATAAAAAGTGACGGGAAGCTATGTTAAGGTTAACTAGCCTATAGCATATATCTTGCTGTCTGCAAAAGACAGTAATTTAGACTTATATTATTTATTTATATTATTTATAACTCCCATAAGTGGATAGTATTCGACACAACTGCAAAAGCATCGTTTTAACCTTTATAAACGAACGTTAACGTTACTCTATCAACAGTCTATTGTCTAAATTACCGCGCAAACAGAGCTAACGTTGCGTAAACAGAGCACCCGGTTGCAGACGTCAATAATGCAGCGTAATAGAATATCCCGATCAAACTCCACTTCAACTCCGCTACAAGTTTATAAACTGCCTTTGGAACCCAATTAAGGTACAAAAATCTATTTAACAAAAATAGTGATGCAGTGGAGTATTTTTTTTGCTCAGCCGAGCCTTCTGTCTGTTGCTGTGGAGAAGCTTTTGCCAGACACCTTTTATCTCCACCCCGCCCTCCGACTACTGACTGAGGCCGTACTCACACTAGGTACAGTTGCCTCGAACCGGGCCAAAGCACGCTTGTCCCCCCTCCCGTCTCCCCCGACGGCCCGCGCTCACACCATATCGGGCCTCGGCACGCTTACGTCATCGCTGCTGCTCTGTTCAGTGAGAAGCACTCTCTATGGCAAGCCTTTTTAGCATTTAAATCTTTGTTCTGACTCCATAAATATATTAGAGATATCTCTAATTATATTTTGACTAGTCATAATTATAATTCCACTACTCAGAATGACAATTAGACATATCTGCAATTACAATTGTACTAGTACGAAATCAGATGAATTTTGACTAGTAACAATTGTAATTGATATCTCTGAGTTTTTACTAGTCATAATACATTTAGAGATATCTTTAATTCATCATATTTAGAGATATTTACAAATATATTTGAAGATATCTCTAATTAATTTACTAAAAGTCTAATTACAGTTGTAGATATCTTGAACTGGATTTTTGACTAGTCAAAATTCATTTGGAGATATCTCTAATTACAATTGTGACTAGTCAAAACTTATTTAGAGATATCTGCAAATATTTTTCAATGGAAGTCAATGGAGGAATATGACTAGTCAGTCATAATATATTTGCAAATATTTCCAATCTGACTAGTCGAATTATAATTATGACAAGTCAAAATATAATTAGAGATATCTCTAAATATATTTATGGATAGTCTGAACAAAATGCTAAAACGGCTTGCCATACGCTCTCACCCAGTAGCACAGTGGAGATTTCTCTAGTTATATCCTTTCAGTCATTTGTTATGCAGTGACATGCAGTCAAATATTTCGCCAAACAGTCCTTAGGGATGCGGTGACACGCAGTCAGATATTTTACCGGACAGATCCGCCACTTTTGGCGCGCATAAACAATCATAAAGCTCTGGTGCTGCAGGAATGAGGAGGTCTGCTGAAGGCGCGCAGCTGTCGTGCAGTGAGGGGTTTGCGTCTTTAATAACCTACGGCAGTTTGCGTTCACTGAACAGTAAGAATGATTAATAAATCCATATAAAGCAACCCCTTAAAAGTCACGTCTCGCTTTCAGTTTCGGGCTTTGGCGCGTTTTGCACTGAGCGTCTCTCTCTCTCTCTCTCTCTCACTCACTCACTCACGCGGGCATGCACTGTGGTCTCATGAGGAAACGCTGCTTTTTGATATAGTGTTTTTCTTGCTCCCGAATACAAATAATTTTTCAAGTATTTGTTCGAATCAAGTATTCGTAAAAACACACTATTCGTGCCTTTCCGAATACCGTATTCGGGTTCGGCTCCACCCTTAATCTATATATAAATGCTTGTAGGCTTTGCCAGCTGAGATTGTCCTTATAATAAAAATAATAATAATAATAATATTAATAATAATAATAATAAATATCATCATAACCTGCTTTGCTTACCCGTAAGCCCCATTACTGATGAGTTTTAAGGTCTCAAAATCACTCTCCAGTGGTTTTCTCCGTAGTGGTGTAGAAACTTTATTCTGCTTCAAGCAACAGGAAGGATGTATCATTAGTGACGTCTTAAAAACCTGGCAGAGTTATTCAATGCCCCAGATCTGTCTGTGATGCATTTACCTCTGCAGATTCTTGAGAATCAACCGTCAACGTGGGCCCAGAGTCAAACTGTTCCTCTAGTTGCACAACTTCTGTCAAAAGATATTAACGATAACAACGTTAGCCTAAAAAGAAACTGACAGGCGTTCAAAACAAAAACATCACCAGATAAATGACAGACAACAAACCATCAAGTGGATCCCAGTTGAGTCCAAGTTGACTGATAATATAGCGAGGAATGTCTGTTTTGATGCCCTGGCCAACTTTGGCATGACCTTCTGCAGCTTCTAGAAGATGGTAGAATTCTTCAGGGTCAAACTCCTACAGAGACACGACATTGACAATCAGGAGCACAGTTTGTGAAGTGTTGATCTGTTAGGAATATGACTCAAGGGCTGTGATTTAATGTAGGTGCAGAATCTGACCAGACATTCCAGCAGACGTGCAGGCCGAGAGATGATGATGAGGATCTTCTTGATCAGCTGAGTGATTATGGAGACCTCCTCACTTTCTGAACGATCCAGCGCCTGAGCAATGCAAACACACATGGACAAGGCAAGATTTTTCTTGATCTTATTATACAGTATATGAATACGCCTAAAAATATAAGACTAATTAATCGAAATAAATTCACAAACACAATTGTGCATAGCTTTCATGCAAATTTGCATCAAGACTTAGATGGCAACACACACACTTAAAAGACTTGATTAAACATGTACACATAGACATCACCAACATTAGGGCTGTCCGATTTGGCCTGACATCTAAATCTTGATTAATTGAACATTTTAACTCGATTACAATTAATGCACGATTTTTTTATTTATTTTTTTATTTTTTGCCCTCATAGTTCACTGATAAGTTTTGTACAGTAATTATACTCATAGGTTACAAATGAGAGATTTTTGAATGAAAGGTGCATTACTTGGTTTTAAAATAATTAAAAGAAACACACTATCTACTATTTTAATTATTGAACATCAACGTTGAAAAACTGAAATTAAAACACACACTGCCAAAAACCAACAGTCACTTTTTTCTTATAAAAATATGAAAATATATTAAATTAATAAATTAATTAATTTCAATGTTTTCATATTAAAAGTAGAAAATAAGCAGTATCTCTTCTAAATAAAACAACATTATACAAATAATATGCTAAGCAGTGCATTTCTTTAATCTTCTGTAAACAAATCTTTTTATGTAAAAATAATTTTATTATAATGGAAAATATGCCGTCTCAAGTCATCTCTGGTGCAGCTTCCAATCATCTTCAATGTAGTGCAAACGTGTGACATGCAGATTCATTTTTGAGAGGTGCACAGGTATGCGGCTGCACAAAAGCCTGTGCCTGACCACACCCGTGCGTTCAATGCTGAAGTTTAAATCAGCCTTAACAGAGCGGGGTCACGTTACTCCACACGCTGTAGGGAAAGTCATTGAAAAAACTGACCTGAAAAATGTTATATTATATGTTATATATGTTATATTATATGTTCAGAATATTGATTACTTCTCGATTATTTGTCCAGCCCTACTGCACGATATTGGGAAACACCGATATTGCAGTATTTTATTTTTCTGTGATATAGATTGCAATATAAAATCGTTTGAATAGCTCTATTTGACAGTTTTCTGTGGAGTAGCAAAATAACCCTGTTTTCACTTTGATATCTACATATTTGGAACAAAACATGACAAGTTTTTTTTTTTTTTTTTGCATAAATCCTACAAATTTTGTATAAATACAGTAATTACAAACAGTTTTGTAGACCAGAAGTCACCAATAATTCAGATTTAACACTGCATATATTGTGATGAGACAATTTCAGATGCACACATTGCGATATCGATGCTGAAACGATATACTGTGCAGCCCTAACCTATATACTATATAACTGCAGCTTAACTTTAACTAATCAACTAGTAACTAATATCTTTTAACAGTTAAAGTTCACCGTGCACCTTTTGTTAAACTGCTTTGAAACAATAATTATTGTAAAATAATTACAAAAAAACTTGAATTGAACATCTTTTCTGGAAAGCACAGTTGTATGATCAGTAGTAAAATCACGTTGGCGTGGAAACTTAAAACATTTATGAGAAACAACCCAAGAAATCTTAGTTTTTACATATTTTACAATAAGAGCTTCTCAGCACACAAGCATTATGCAAAAAAAAGAAAAAAAAAAGCACAGAATACAACAAACAAAAGATTTAATTGCATTTATTGATTCAGTGTGACTAATAATCAAAGCGACTATGAAATCATCTCACAGAATGATTTTTCAAATAAGAAATTTGACACTGTGGATCACTCAGTCCTCCTTTCGCAGTTGGCCCAGCAAGTTGGGTTTCAAGGGGCTGTGTTAAACTGGTCCTGTGGTGTGCCTCAGGAATCCATCTTGGGCCCTGTTTTGTTCTCTTTGTACATGCTGCCTTTAGGTTCACTTACTTTAAATCACAATGTCTCTTTTCATTTGTATGCTGATGATGTACAGCTTTATACTACTGTTACACCAAACCTTTTAGATTCACTTTGATTCTTTTAGCAAATGTTTGATTGCAAATGATTTTAAGAAATGGCTGTTACAAAATTTTCTCTGCCTAAATGAAGACAAAACCGAGTGTATTCTGTTTGACAATTCTAAGAGGTCAACCATTTCATCTCAGTTTCCTTGCTTCAGCCATATGGACAAAAACTTGACAGTGTTAGACTAGACAGTACTCTAAAATTTAATAAGCAGATTGATTCGGTGATTAAAGCAAGTTTTTTTCAGCTTTGCTGAAGTCTAAAGTCAAGCCCTTCCTGAGCAAGGCTGATCTTAAGAAAGCAATCCATGCTTTTTTAGTTTGCTTTTGGACTACTGTAATGCACTTTATGTTGGAGTTAACCAGTCATGTTTTCATTGTTTGGAGCTTGTGCAAAATGCTGCTGCTCGCATGTTAACTAAAAATTATAAAAGTGAACATATTACACCAATTCTCTACTCCCTTCACTGGCTCCCTGTTAAGTTTAGAATTGATTTTTAACTTTTGATGTTTGTTTTGAATGCCGTCAATGGTCTTGCTCCTACTTATTTATGCAAAATTTTGCACATTCACAAACCCAGTAGAGCTTTGTGATCTGCTAACCAACTTCTGATTAAAGTCCCTCAGTCAAGATACAAGCAGTGGGGTGACCACTCTTTTGCAGTTGCAGGTCCTAAACTCTGGAATACTCTTCCAAATGAGCTTCGTACAATCACTGTCCTGCCACTTTTTAAAGCCAAGCTTAAGACTCACTTGTTTAAACTGACTTTTAATGCATAGCACTGACACTTGTATTGTGTTTTATTGATTTTATTGATCATTTTTGTATTGTTTTGCATCGTCTCCTTTTCAGTTGTATTGTATAATTTACTTGTGTAAAGCACTGTGGTCAACCTTGGTTGTAGAAAAGTGCCATATAAATAAAAGTTGATTGAAATGAATTGGTATAAAGCATTATATTGGTGGACAAATATAATGTATATTCATATTATCTAATATTTAAACTTTTAATATTATTATTTAAGATACATATCAGAGAACACTATTCTCTTATCTGTATTTTAAATATTAATAATGTTGCTGGGCGAAGCAGTTGGGCAGCAGGTAGTGCTGTCGCCTCACAGCAAGAAGATCGCTGGGTTGCTGGTTGTGTGGAGAGTTTTCTGTGAGGAGTTTGCATGTTCTCCCTGCATTCGCTTGGGTTTCCTCCGGGTGCTTAGGTTTCCCCCACAGTACAAAGACATGCGATACAGGTGAATTGGGAAAGCTAAATTGGCTGTAGTGTATGAGTGTTTCTGTGAATGTGTGTGTGGATGCTTCCCAGAGATGGGTTGCGGCTGGAAGGGCATCCGCTGTGTAAAAACTTGCTGGATAAGTTGGCGGTTTGGCATCCTTTAGGGGGGATCGAGGATTAAAATTAGAAGTCAATCCCCCCTGACCCGCCTACAATTCTCACCCCGAGTACGTCAATTATTTTGTACTGTGAAGTCCTATGACCTAGGACCTTGAAACAGACAGAAATATGACTGGATTGTGCTGCTTTTACGGCCCCTCACATGAATTGATCCACGCTGGCATTTCTCCCCCAGGGTTTTAGGCTTTGGAAAGGGAAAAAAAAATTCCACCACGCTGTCCAAACTTTTAGGATATCGGGTACCAGATTTGCACAATCCATATGCACAACGCTTTGGCTTGTTTTCCCCTCGCTCGAAAGCTTGACAGACCTCCCGCGCGTAGCTACAGTTGCTAAGCCACGACTGGTGTGTGGCAATTTTTTGGGTGTGGCTTAGCGAAGGGTCAATTAGACATACTACATCCTACATAAATCTAATCCATTGATTTAGAATTGTAATACATGTCTTGTACATCCTTTGTCTAGAAATATTCAGCATCCTAACACTTTGAAATGTCAACTAACATTATTAGACCGAAGGGGGGAATAAAATGTCAAATAAGCTTGAATTAAATATGAATTCATTTAATAAGGCTCACCATTTGAGCAACATGCTGTGCTAGTCAACAAACAGACTCAAGAACACTCTGTCTGTCCTGAACACTGGACAGTATTTGGCGAAGTGACTGGAATGTTATTTCTTGTTTGTGCAGGGGAATCTGCTAGCTCGTGGGATGTGGGAGTGGGAGGTAATGAGCTACTTATACTGTGGTGCTACAGGATCAAACCCTTCCCAGGCACTCGTGCAAATTTCAACTCTGTGTGCTCATCGAATCTAGATGTGACAAGCATTAGACTGCAAAACCGAAATATTCAGAGATTATATCCTAAACGCAATTGTCTGCGGTGGAGCACTTAAAAACGGTTTCATCTATCCTGAGCTGCTGTCTCCTCGCGTAAGCTTGTTTAGGACAAAAGCCGAGTAAACAAGGGATCATGCTCGGTCAGGCGACTCCTACGAAAAACTAAAATTACCGCATCTTAATGCATTTGATGAAGCTGAACAAAGCAAAGGAGACGTGCTATCAAATCAGCATTAAACAGCCTGCTAGCATGAGAAGATGCATGATTCATGTTTCACAGACAGCCAAGTGCCACTGGTAGAGGGGTTTGAAGGAAACATGGATGCTTCTAACTTGACACAAACCGTCACATCAAAACAATGAAGCGTTTCCTTTTTTAGCACTGCAGCCGACGAGTCTCTCTCCATCAGAAGCAGATGGCAGCTCAGACTCGACTGTGACTTGTGGCCCTGCAGCAAGGAGCTTTTTAATGATGCCCAGCTTCTGTTTGTCCTCACTGTTTACATTAGCAAAATATGCTTGGTCAAAGTTTTACAATCTATTTATGATAGTGCTAATCTTTGATGGTGTAATTATTATGCGAGAAACCAAAAAACGAGTTCTATGGGATATTATAAAAATATTAATACAATACATAAACGCATTAAGGCTACTTTGCTTTTTAAAACAACAACAGTAGTGAAGTCTGAAAATATGGATTTCTTTCTGGCAGTTAAACCAGAAAATAAATATTAAC